ACGGACGGACGGACGGACGGACGGACGATCAAGCGATTCTACAAGCTGCATCTGACTATGTCAGATGAGCTAACAAAACAATACATTTATAAATGACGTATGGCATTTGTTCTCTTGTTTCAAAGGTTTGCAACGCTTGCCACGATTCTCGCGTCTCGTGTTACAGTGTGAGAATTTGTCTTGTTGTGCAGAATTAATTCATGACCACGTAATATTTCATCAAATATTATTTACATGTGTTTAGCCATCATAATATGCATAAATTACTGTGATGTACAATAAATGTGTATGAATTTGAATTTTGTGATCGATTCCCATCCAATCAGCAGCCTTGTGATGAAGTTCCTGTTATCGTAAGTTTTCACTTAAGTAAGTTTAGTTTAAGTTGTTTCTGGGAACGCTATTAAAATTAACCTTAACATTAACATTAGACTTAAAATTAATCGTAACTTTACGAAGTTTCTGGCAACGGGCCCCTGGGTCATCTTTAAAACATGGTCAAACCAGCCTGAGAGGTTTGACATAATCTACAGCACTGCAACTTTTGGCCACCTTGTGGAGGTTGACATTGGAGTTTGTCTTTAGCCAAAATGCATTCCAAATCCTCCTTAAGCACCCGTTGCGGAAGGACTCTTTCTTGGACATATCTAACTTGATGACATGGGCCAGCAGATTAACCCACAGAATGAGACATAGTTGACAATGCTGTTGCATAGTATGATCTTGGACCGTAAGCTTAGCTGAATGGACCTTGAGGCAGGGGTAAACTTAAATATAAATTAATCAAACCATTTTGAGTTTAAAAATATTATTCCTAAACCGACTGTGCTGAGCTTTAGTTATATACCCCGTACAGACTACGAATTTGATATGATACTAAACTAGTGCGCGTTAGACGCGTGTCTAACGCGCGCAAAAAATTGCAGTGGGTACACGCTATCCTGCTCCAAATACGCGCTGGCCCGCTCCAAGTTGGCCCCCCTTTCGAAGCAGGGCTATCTTGGTGCGCACCAAGTTATCCCGCTCTAACTCCGTGTCTGTACGCAATCGGTACCTAACACGTGCTAAGTTTCGCAATACGCATGCGCATAGCCTTATTTAGGTGACGTACGCCCACTCGCACGCACGCTCGCTGTACCTCGCTGTCTGCAGGGTGACGTGGCGAGTAGGGAACTGAGCGGTGGGAGAACTGATGACTCATTTAAAGTAGGGTCAAATATGCAGTCTGTACGCTCCTAGTTAGCGCGCGCTAAGTTAACGCACGTCAGACGCGCGGTAACTTTTGTAGTCTGTACGGGGTATAAAAATCACGATAAATATTTCATTTATCATAACATACCTTCCCCAGTTCTTTTAAGTACATCCAACAGATACCTTGATTATGATGAGTTTTCTGCAAAAGTGTAATCATATAATATCATTACTACATTGAATTAATATATTTAATTTATTAATGTAACATTCAAGGAGACTAATCCTGAACAACAAGAACAATGGAACATGACTGTAAATTCGTGCCTACATGTAGCCATATGGCATATACTAACCCAGTCACTGTCATCCAACTTCAATGCCTCACTGTAGATTTCTGAAGCTGATTTATGTCTAGCTAAAAGAAATCTGAAATAAATATGTCAATATTTATAACAGTAATTATTATATTATTTATTATAAAGTTTTGATTACCAGTCTGCATTGAATGAAAATGTCCCATTTGGTTGTGGATGTAAAATAAAATAGTATACATGTTTGATTAGCACTCTGCATTAAATAAAATAAAACAGGTTTTTTAAATGTCAAATAAAATGATGCTTGTAAATCTTACAATGATCTCCCGATCTGTTTCAGGTAGTCCGGATTTTTTGGGTTTATGAGCGAGCAGGTCTGAAACACTTCCAGTGACTCTTGTACCTGACCTTCCCCTCGCATTATCAACCCTATGAGAAGAAATTATAACAACAACGAATGTATGTGCATGTATGCATATGACAATATCACCGAGTTTCTGTGAAAAAAAGCCCACTAGCTACCAACATTATAATCGTGGCATGCACACTTGCAAAAGCAACAACTACAATGTACATGACACACTCGTTTGTGCACAATTTCTGCATAGGAGTGTCTGACTACTACAGCTCTCACCCTGTACATAGAGTGCATATTCACACATGCTATGGGTCTCAGCCAACTGCTCCCGGATGAGAGCCTTGCAGGCATCATACTCCCTTCTGACGTAATGCAAGTGTATCAGCCAGTTCCTTCTCTCAATCAACGGAAGCTCAGGTGCTACAGTAGAAAAAAAGAGTGCCCTAAGTTCGGGAAACACAGATAAAATTTTAAATTCCAACCAGAGGAATGGGTATTACTTCTTAATTAGCCATTGATATATTTTCTATGTAGCTGATTTCTCTTAATTAAAGCTAATTAAAGCTGGGTTATTAGTTCTTGTTTGCATATTTACCTTCACAGGTGGAGTCACTGGTTTATACTTGCTGACTTGCTGATTTCGCAAACTGTTCTGAATACATAATCTAAACTTTGGTGATAAAAAACAGTTGCTCGGCTTATATACAAAAGTTTTCCTTGCAATGTGGTACGTGCAATGTGCAGTGTAGTGAAAAACTGTTGCACACAATGTACAATTGTACATAATTGTAAATGTTCCCTAATGCTGGCTAAATTCTTCTCAAATTTTCATTCCTGTGGGTGCAGATCTGGAGTAGGTGGGAGGTATCTTGAGAGGCGATAATTTTATCGCATGACAAAAACATTGGATAATATATAAAAAATAATACTGAAAGACCTGTGGTATTACGCACACACTTCAAAAACAATTATATAAAAACAAATGATAGCCTACATGGCCTTTACGATCTATTAGCTTGTCATCTATGCTTATAGGTTGGATTCATATTCCATACCTTTCTTGATTACTGGCTGCGATGGAGGTGCAGATGGCGCAGATGCCAAACCTGGTCCATTGCTGCTGGAAATGCTGGCACTTTCTGGATCCATATCTTCACATATGAGAAATGGCAACTGGTATTAAATTCCCTGAAACACATGTGCAAGTCCAAATTAAAAATACAATATCAAAAATAAATTATAGTCAGGCTCAGTGGTTGAAATTCCTATTAGTACACTTTCAATTCATCAGTAGTTTATTAGTTTATTTTCAATTTAACTTCTGGTAGCCAGACTGGCTACCTACATACAGGGTTCAACATTAACTTTTTATTTCACTAGACCATCGGGCTAGTAACTGAGGAAACCCACTAGCCCTGACCTAACTTTCACTAGCCCAGACCCAGACCATTGTTATGAAAAACTTTATTTAGATAAGAGTGTGTCATCGTATGAATTCATAGATGCTGTTTCCCGCGCTTTAAATCGCGCGTGGGCCGAGTTCACGTTCATCATTCGTATTCTACCACAGGCATACACAAGCGCACGGTTTATCGATCGTCTACTGTGGCTGGCAGCAAGCCACGTTATTGTTTTTGCCGAAGGGTAGACTGGTATCCGGCCTCACGCTCTGCTAGACAATGTACACGCTCTGCGACAAACAGTGCGGCCGCGAACCAGTCTAGCTAGAGGTGACCTTTCAGTGCAACATATATGACCAATTCTAACACGACCAGTCGGGCTACTAGCACTCTGGTTGTATGCGACCAGACCAAGCATTTACCCGACTAGGTCGGTCGGACGTGAGTTAGTGTCGAACCCTGTACATATAGTGCAAACCAAAAAAAAACATCAAAAATATGTCACACTCACAGCCTACATACTGCTAGCTTTTACATGGCTCAGAGATGGAACCAGGGTTTTACCAAGGTATTTAACACATTACATACTGTGTCCTTCAACGCTGAAGCTAATTTGCGACATCGCAAATGTTGGCAATGTTAGGCAATAGTTAGGGACCAAGTTCCAGTTGTTTACTGACAATACCAAAACAGCATTGTTGTGAATGACCCAAGCCCAGTTTTGCACAACGGATTAGTTTAGCACAAGTGAAAACACATTTGCGGGGGTTCCAAACTATCGCTGATAGGGTCTATGTCCCCCAGGGTACTGCCGGAACGTAACCTGAGTACGGTCCGCCGGTCCGGTATACCGGAACGTACCATGGTACTAAATACTACTATCTAATATGCCGGACCGTACTTCGCCTACTCCACTAACGAGTCTAGGGAGTCGCCTACGCCTACTCCCTAACCCTAACCCTAACCATATCAGCTAGATAGTTACCAGGGTACGTTCCGGCAGTACCCTGGGGGACATAGACCCTATGAGCCAAACTATCCTTGATTCTTGCAATTTCACAGCTTGATATAAAAATTATATAGCTAGGCATCACTAAACGGATCTAGTTTACCTGTGTGTTCGGACTTCTTATGACACGCAAAACTCACTCAACTTGGAACAGCCCCTTCATTTATTTATAAGCGATGCCTATGCCTACTAAAGCGTTTAACTAACAAATAAGCAACTGAATAGGGGTGCACCGGAACTTGGATCCGGCCGGAACTATCCGGCCGAATCCCCAATTTTCAGAGTTCCGGTTCCGGCCCGAACCCTTCAGGAACAGTTGGCCGGAACCGGAACCTTTTCCTAAATTTATTTCTGCTACAAGCGTCATCAAGATCAAAAGATCAGTCACTGAATGTAGTTGAGCGTCAGTAGAGTCAACTTGCTGACAATATAGTGTTAACAACTTCACACTAGTCCGCCCAAAAAACTTTGCCACGTGAACATCGGCTAACTAACTGAACTAAACCTAACTGATGTTAGGTGATTCACGAGATTTTCTTTTAAAAGAAAATGCTCTTACTCTTAGAGCCACAGGAATGGCATCTGTACGTATGTTAGTTGAAAATAATAGACTAATACCAGGTATACTGCAACATGCAGGTTTTGCCACACAATTCGCTCGCGAATAAGATGCCAGAATTATGCACTGTGTAAGCAGATGATTCATACACCTAACAACCATCCTGTAATTAGAACTTTGTAGCATTGAGAACAATGAGAACAATGTAGAATGTGAACATGTATATCAGGGTTCTCCCTACGTTGCGCAAACGGGGCGCGCGTGCCCCGTTTGGGAAAACTCCCCCCTGTTTCAATCGTTGCGCCCCGTTTAAAATACCTCCGCCCGATTAAATTCCACCACAATAAAAGTTTGCCAGCGAGGGAATCGATCGTCAAGAATTCCCATTCGACCAGGACACCCGTCACGTGTATTTTTACCGTGCCACGCATGCACTGCAGACAATACACAAGTACAAACAGTCAACCTGTCCCACACCCAACACTAACTGTACACCGACTCGGCTATCTTATATATACAAGAACCCCAAATGCCGTCTATGGTGTGGTGACGATTTTACGCATTAATTAGTGGTACGGTAAAAAAACACGACCCCGGACCCCTCCCCCCCCCAGTTCCCCCTCCCCCTCCCCTCCCCCTGTTTGAATTTCATCCTGGGGAGAACCCTGTATATGAGAACATGAGACATGAGAATATGTGACATAATGAGAACATGAGACATAATGAGAACATGTAGTGCAATGTCATCATGCATTGTCCTACTCGCCTGAGCGATGTGCATGCTAATGCTAGCCGCACACTATCTGACCCGAGCACGATTTGAAGGCTTACGATTGGATCGAGATGTTCTAGTTTGGCTCGGGAGGCTTAAGATTGGCTCGGGAGGTCATTTTGGCCCGATTCGAATTTTGAATCGGGAACAGATCGGGTCGGATAGTGTGCGAGGGCTTACGACGCGACTCGGATAGTGTGCGTGGCCATCCGACCCGATCGACGAGCGCTGAAGAAAATTGACCAATCACAGAGCTGCGCCATGGGAACTCAACTGCATTCGAACTGCGAATGGCGCATTCGAACCATGCGAAAAACATCCCGACGCCTTAGTACACGCTAAAATCCGCTTGGAACGCCACAGAGAGTGCCATGGTTTTGCGGTCAACTTTGAGTCGGACACGTGTGGCGGTGGCCTCCGATCGGATCGGATCGGGTCGGATAGTGTGCGGGGCTTAGTCTGCGGCACAGTGCAAAAGGCGGATAGTGTGCGGCTAAGCCATAATAATATTGCATTCAGGCTGAGTGAGTTTTCACAATACTGGACCAAAACTGTCAAGTTATTCCCCAGCTAAAGGGATACTAGCACTACGGATTTTACTGCATACAACTGTACTATACTGTATAAACAAATTGCTGTCCTCTACCCACACGTACTTGTTACTACGTATACCTAATTTAATTGTTATAATTAATTATACATCAACGCTACAAAATTGAACGTGCCATTGACAACCGCGACCGTGCTGCCACCCTGAAAAAGTTGCGCATTTCCCATATACTTTTCGCACATTACAGACAGAGGGCTAACCACAAAGGTGCAATTATATTTATACCTAAATGCTATTTAGACCAACACGATGCTCATTTTAGGACAAATTATCCATAATATAACTTAAACTATATGTCGTTATAAGATATACAATCCCTTTCGCTTTTAAATTAATAAATAAGAAACAAACTTGGTCTGTAGCCCTTGGCTGAAAAGTCTTTTGCGCAAACTTTTCAGATTGTGCTCTTTGAGTGGCGCGCCACCATCGTGTTAATCAAACTGTATTTGAAAAATATTTCTAATGGTGACTGAACCATGAAACTTTTTATGTAGCGTATAATTTATCTAATTAACTGAAAATAACCCCCAGAACCTAGAGTAAAGGATCCCTATTAAGTTCCTGAGGTTATTCCGCCACCGGTAGTCTCGCGTCCGACAACAAAAATTTGATCATTGCACGTGCACATAANCAGCGTTACAAGCATGTTTCTTGCACAATGTGGGAATTTCACTTCTAACACGGTGTCCTAGCTTATTCATGCACAAGACCATCTGGCAGACTGCCCAGGTAATGTTCATCTATAGAAATAATTATTCCACTTTTTTTGTACTTTCACATCATATATAGCTTCTCATAGCAGGTGATCGCATCTGGTTGCGGTTGATTTCCGTTTGATGTTGCATTGACGACTGCATTTTATTTCTCCTCTATTTCTCCTCTCCTTCTTCCACTCCACACTCTTACTTTGCATTCTTGCTCAGGACTCGATGACATCTGCCTTTTCACGTGATATTTTAATTATATTATTTCACTCCAAGAACATTTGTGGTAGTGGTTTAATAAGATAGTCATGGACTTAGTGATGGGAATCGGTTAGAATTTCATCATCGATCCTCGATTGCACCCAACCGATCGATGATCGAATCAAATCAGTTGAATGTTATTGATCGCGGCTATCAGATATATCATATATTATATAATACAGTATTTTTGATAATACAATATTCTAAAAGCTATGTAACAGTATTATACTGTATTACATGCTTATGTTTGGTGTAGGTTAGATTCACTGTCGCCAAGCTGTAAAGTAACAAAAATAAAATAATGTGTCATTTCATCTTTAAATTATTATTTTTTAATTATTATATTATTTTTGATAATTGATTATTTATTTTCATAACCGAGCGCTAAACAATGACAATATAACAAATGATGGACTTTCGATAATAATTGATAATCGGTACATCACTAGTCATAGTCATTATCAAAGTGAGTAAATATTAACTGGTCTGATTGTTTGCAGCAGTGGAACCTGATTATGAGTGTGGTTACATAGTTCTTTAAATGTTCAGAATAAAATACAAGCTTATGGTACTTTTCTGGGCGTGGATAAAAATTAAGTTGGAGTAGCTAGCTCTGCTTGGTAAGTTTCAGCCTTCTTGCTTTGTCAGGCAATCAAGTGTGTAGTCGACGTGGCTGATGAAAAGACTGCAAAACCTCGGTACAAAAAGGTTCTAAATTTGGCTGTTTACCTCCAATGTAATCTATGACTATGTCTATGATTCTGATACAACTACCCTAGGATATAACATACTGCATAACATGTGTAGAAGTGCTAACCTCATACAACTAATATTGTAATCTAGCTTTCGATTTGTGTGTGCGTGTGTGTGTATACGTGTGGCTCTACTGTACTGCTACTGGCACAGTTACTGAGTTCGTGTGCATCATGCATGTGCGTATAGACTGTACTAGTACTATAGCTCCAAGAAACGGTATTGCTAGGGTTAGATACCCTAGTAATTAGTAATACCCTGGTGTATTGACGTTAGTCACACAGCCTGGTCGGGTTACTAGTACTAGTACTACACTACAGTAGTAGCTACGCTTGTTTGAGATACGTCACCGCTCTAGTAACTCAACCACTCTCCAGAAACCTGCGAGCATTTTATTTTTCCAGGCCCTTCTTTCAAGTGGGTTAATTGTCTAGCTCTGATATTTTACTCGATGCAAAATAATTTTCATGTTTACCGTATCTCAGCTTGCACAGTGTTGTTTGCGTTCGCGTGCCGGGATCACTTGTTTATCTATAGCAGCAGAACCGGAGCGGCGCAAGCGCCCTAAGCGGCTTTGGTACGTGCTCGGTGGTCCTCATTCATGCTGGCCCTCTGTGAAATGGTTTCGATTATGTTGACTCGTTTTGATCAGCATCTCAACGAATGTACTGCCGTATAAATAAGGAGGGAGACAGTACGTGCGGGTTTCAGCGAACGGGCGTGGGTGTTTTTCTAAAACGGCCTGCTTTGCTATTATCATATAGTATTGCCTTATCTGGATGTGGCATTTTCGCATATTGTGCGCGCGTGTAGAGATGTAGTGCGTGATGGTGTTAGAAGTGTGCGCAGATGACTGGAAAAGCTGCTTTTATTCGATTACCAAATCGCGCATACAAGACACGCCAGTTGTATCCACATGCGCCCGTTCGGTGAAGGTTTTTGCTTTTTAAATAATTTTCTTTTCTAGTAATGTTCCCAGCATGCACAGACCTGTATATTAGCCTGAGAATCCGCATGGAGCGTAATCAGAGGCAACTAGGCAAGTGTGGTTGTTAGCGTATCTGTCAAACGTCATCAAAACTAATGGCCCAACATTTCGCGAAATTTTCAAAATAACTGGTTGAAACTCGACAATGCGGACGTTGAAATATATATATATATATATATATATCATATTATTTGAAGTCCGATAATAGAAAGGAGTGGGACTTCCACCTAAACATAGCAAAATTCCGTCATTCACTATTCCTTAGAATACTACGATTTACTACGCGTAACTCAAACCAACTTATCTCCAATCGTACACCAGTAACATTCGCCTAGCATCCGTGCGAAATCGTTTCCTCGTATACACCGCAATCCGGCGAGATACAGACTAAAACAGTATGGACACGATTCTCCATTTCTCTGTTGCCAGCAAAAAACGATCCATAACCCGCCTAACTTGAACAATACGGCAGCTACTAACTACTCTCGGCACACTTGTGCCGCTCCGGCAATGCGGTCTGTCGGGCGCGCTGGTGAGAATTCGGACATCGAGCAACACTCGACGAGCTAATCTTTGAACCTATTTACGCGCTGGTATTGCCCACGACACGCACGCCCACCCGAATCCAGCAGGCAGCCTCCAGCTCCAATCTCCCAGCGTTTTAGTCTGTATTTCCGGATTGCGGCGTGTTCCTGTATACGAGCGAAACGCATTTCGCACGATGCGTAGGCGAATGGCACTGGGTACGATGAGCTCAAGTTGGCTTCCTTGAGTTACGCCCCGTCAGTAAATCGTAGGTATTCTAAGGCTCAGTAAATGACGAATTTCCCTTATTTATTGTAAGTACACACTCCTTCCCTATTATCTACTTCTGATATATATATATATATATATTCGTTCGTCGTGTTTTTAATTTCTATTAAAATAGTTTTCGCCTCATACATAGCTATCGCTTAGAAATAACATTACGTTTCTTTTCGTTTTTATTCGCGCTTGCTAACAATTGCTAACACTCGCATGGACTCGGTGCTTGCAAGGATGCTCGTAGGATAATGATACAGCTAACAATAAAATAAATGCAGTTGAGTCTTCGCGTGGCGGCTGTCGCAAATTGATTGCGAACCCCAATGACGCAAAGCAACGCAGGTGTCCCCATATACATTCACGAACACATGCAGTGCTGCTTTTTACGGGCGGCATATTTGCTTGTCCTGCGTGAATGCTCTCTGCTCTCTAATGTTTCGGCGTGCGTGGATACCCACCTACACGCCTACACGCACCCTATTAATAGATGACTAATAGAATAATGAAAGGGACGGACGGACAGACAGACAAAAGGACTGAATGTCGAGTCGACAGAATAACACGGATATAATTTAACACGTAGAAATGAAAAGAACAAGTGAGATGGAGAGCATATACGCTATCTATAGAATAGCTTTAGCATTATCTAAACGTCCATATAATTGGGCATACGCCTAGTTTCGCTCCTAATGAGCCAGAGTATGTTATACGGTTTGTTAAAGGTCAAGCTGTCTATGTCATGTAACATGACCATAAATGGCATAGAGCAGAACGAAAGTTATTACTTGCTATGTTTAGGCGGGCGCATATTTTCTTGGCATATATCTGCATGGCATATATGCTACACATATCTTCCGTGCACCACTAGCTGTTCTATACAGAAGAATATGCTGCAACCATAGTTGCAGAGGTAGTTCAATATAACTACATAGCGCTTGTATAGAGACAACCTGCATTTACGGATGACATTTAAATCTCCTGTATCATTTCACGAGCACAGAGTGTAGCGTGGCTATTAATTCTGAGTTGGTCTATGGGTTTATGATGCGACTGCGTCGTTTCTCTCTTAGATTTGTTAGCGTTAGGGTCATCATGCTGTGCTAGCTGTAAGATATGCGTGATCATTAAAGTATAGTCCGTATGGTCCTATATATGTCCGTATAGTAAGAATTTATTAATCGCGCTATCGTGTGGTTGCGATGCAGTTGGATTGTCTATAACTATTTATAGAAGTAGCCAACGCGTTTATACTAGTTTATTTCCTTTGATATAACAGTAATATCTATAGTTTCAATTGTATTAGTCTCGCTGTTATAAACAAATATGATTACAAATCTTGCGAAGATAAAAAAAATTCGCATGCAGAAGATGAATATACGCGATAAAAATCTGTAATCTCACAAATATTTTCAATAATATAGTGTAAAGTAAAGTCGAAAAATGTAACAAATAGTGTCAAGTGTGTTATCAGCAGCAGTAACTTTCTGTCACTTCAGTTTGATCGCCCTTTTTGTAAAATCCCTCTAAGCCTAAATCCCACTTACTCGCTCAGGGATTTACTAAGCTATACTCATCATGCAATCAAAATAAAACACAACTCTACGAAACTACACAGATATTTCCAAGTCGTCACACTCGCGCCGCGTGTCGCGTAATCGAATACAAGTAATTCCGTACCTTAGAGTTGTGTTCGCGGAGGCGCTCGGCGGGGTGAAGGTAGGTCGGTCGAAGGTAGAAAGGAGAAGTATATCGGGACTACGAGTGGGAATCACAAGCAAGATCGGACAGATCGGAGCTGGACAATAACAGGACTATATGGTTCAAAGGGTCAGAGCCGAGTTGTATCGCTGGAATAGGGTGTAGGAGCTAGGCGAAAACTGGACTTGCTGCGGAAAGGATGAGAGCCGACTCGTTACCTGGGAATAACCATGGCAGAT